CTCTTACAGTCAGCAGCGGCAGCGGGGTCGCCTGCGAGAACAAACGTGCGGACATTGCAAAACCAAGAAGACCAGCGTACAATTCTTCGCCCGCGGCTGTGATTCGGTTATATACTAGACATACCACTGCACCTGCCTCTACAGGCAAGTCGACGCGGTTCCCGAAGTTCCCGAACATCCGTAAAGAAACCCAAGTGCGAAGAACCCGGAATCGCCAATATTTTGCAAATCTAGAACACGAGAGGCTGTGGACGTGGTCAGGAGGCCTGCAAAATTTTCTACTTGTTGGTCCGCTGTGTATGCTGTGTACCCCACCTCTATGACGTTCGATTTGTACAAAAAATAAATCCGTACGAAACTACATTGCTTTGCGCGAAACTCACCCTTTGTACGACACAATTCAAGGCACTTCGGGTATGGCGCTTGATTTCAACAGGCGCCCGAGGTTTGGTAGGCTAATCACCGAGCGTCTGGACTTCGCAGCCTTCACGGTCATTGACTCGCCCCATCTTTCCCAAGTTCTCACTCACCACGTCGACGCCTTTCCTATTCTCTTCAAGCCTTGATGTTCCCCCCTCTTTTCTATCTATCCTGAGGCACCATCAACAACCATGGCTATCGACCGCCTCTTCATCGCCCTCTGAAGCTCCCTCAACGCGTTCTTCAGTCTCGGATCTGCCGCTAATGACTCTCCTCTCGTGCACCCTTTGGCTTGGGCCGTTCAGGATGATGGAAGGGGGAAAGGTGGATGCCTGTTTAGAAGGTATGATCTTACTGTTCTTCCAAGCTATACCCTTCTTATATACCTCAAGTGACCATCCCCTTGTACCCGGTCCCGCACCTCAGAGCTTGAGGCTCAATGAAGGTATGGATAAACCGTGTAGGTAATGAGTAGTACGCCTCCTGTTGTAGCGCATTTGTATGTTACAGTTTTATACGGGGACTATATGCTTGAATAAAACCAAAACCCAAAGAGTAAATATATGAATGTTTCGTGCAATCGGTGAGTTTCGCATTTGGTGAGTTTCGCTTGTCACGACCAGTGTTTCTGGCACTGGGCTCTATGTTTCACTCATAACTCCATTGGTGTCGCATGAAAGTGCATGTTTCGGGCTAATTTATTTTTTGTACAAATCAAACAGCATACACCTCGGGGAGAAAAACCACTAGGGGGGAATTCATTATTGGTTTCTCCGCAGATCTTTTGTGTCATTTTTACCTCTTCACTGCCGTCTCTGCGGACGTGTTGCGATATGTGTACGACAGTGTATCGTCCAAGATAGCGTTGGCCCCACTTGCATCTGTCAGGTGGGGCGCCGGTTCGGGCTTTTGCGATCTGGGGAAGATTTGCTGCAAAAACATCAGTCTTAATGATTTCGTGAAGGGGAGATCTCTGCGACATGGGGTGTATACTGTGGTCAACGACGGAAAACATCGACCCCGCATTGATAGACATGCATCTGAGCAACCACAACGGTTGCCTGAAACGGGAAGCGCCGGCGATAGGGTAGGCTAAAGTCCGAGTGCAATATTTCGTGCACTCCGGGTGTGGCAGCTGCAATATTGGGTGGACGAGTGCGGTCGTGTGCACGGTGCTGAAGACAGGCACGTCTCGCCACGCGTTGTAGACCCGGCAGAAAGCTGGGTGATATAGAAAAAAGAGCAGCCGGAGCCTCCTATGGCGTTGAAGTGAAGTGCTAGGCCTCCCCGATGTTCCTGAAGTGCTGAGAGACTGGTTCGCAGGTTGAACGTTGGCCGAGGAGTCGCGGCGAGGACTCGGGGCTCGCTGGGGCTGTTGGGCAAAGGCCCAGGCTGCGGTCGCTCGAGAGGAGTGGAGCAGATGGAGCTGGTGCCGCTGATCCCGAAGGCGCGGCTCGATCGCAGGAGCCGCTACTCCAACTCCTCTCATTATTCGCGCGGCGCTGAAAGCGGGCAGTGTGGAAAGAAAGGCCTGCGTCGGTGCGCCATACTACGCAGCAGCAGCGGTGCGTACGAGAAAAGCTGACGACGCAGCGGCAGGGGGAGGCATTTGCTGTATTTGGATCGGTGATTGCGGTACATCTCTGGCCCGCGCTGGAGACGCGCTGCTCAGAGCAGGGATTTGGAAAACGAGCGACCTCCACAGCGCAAATCGATGTCTCTAAAGCATGGATTTTTTCGACACGACCTTCCCAGCGCCGCCCAGCATGTCCCTCCCGCGAGCTGGAGACCCAGAGACCCCCGGGGGCGCGTCCGCCAGCTCAGAGCCGCAGGAACCGACACCAGTGAGAGGACATTCTCCAGGCCCCCTCCGACATTCTGCCCACGACAGTGATCCTTCGCGTTTTAGATTGGCACGCCCACCTCCGAAGCCGTCACCATCTCCGTCTCCACCGTCTTCCACCCCGCGGCCCAGCTCGACCCCGCCCCGCCAGACACCGTCCTCCGATCCTCAGACCGCGTCTTCTTCCACGCACACCGCCATGTCATTCTCGCCGCCTCCGCCAACGCCTTCGCCTCCCTATTGGCTGACCCGCCCCCCGCCGCGTCGGCACAGCGGCCGCCCGTGCTTCCCCTCGACGAGAACGCGGACCTGGTCAACGTCGTGCTCCACTGCATCTACGCCCGATCGTTCGCCCAGTTCTACCCCTCCCTCGCCACCCTCATCGCCGCCGTCGCCGCCCTCAGGAAGTACGGCGTCCCCCTGCAGCAGTATGTCGCCCCCGAGACCCCGCTCTTCATCCAGCTCGTCGACCAGGCCCCCCTCCACGCCATCGAAATATACATGGTCGCCGCGGAGAACGACCTGCACGACCTCGCCGTCGCCGTCTCCCCCCACCTTCTCTCCTTCCATCTGCCCACCGTGACAGACGACATGGCGATCCGCATGGGCCCGATGTACCTCAAGAAGCTCTTCTTTCTCCACATCAATCGCGCAAAGGTCCTGCAGGAGTTAATGCTCACTCCCCCGGCCCCGCACGCGCCGACGTTTGAATGCTCCAACGACGAGCAGCAGAGGCTCACTCGCGCGTGGGCGCTGGCCTGCGCCACTCTCGCCTGGGACGCACGACCAGGTAGGTGGATCCCCTTACGGATAGCAGGCTCCACTGAGTCGTCGTATATAAGATCTCTCCGTTCTCACAATGCAAACGGTGCTCAGCACCATGGAAGAACAGCTTTCTTGCATCCTCTGCAAAGAGTCCCTGCGCGGCCGCATCGAGGAGCTCATCACTGCCTGGATGAATACACCCGTAAGTGTTCTTTTCTCGTTTATTCATCACCCAGTCCCATGACTTCGCTTCGTAGCGAACCATCTGAGCAAGGTTCGTACGCGCCAGATTCGATATACACGCCCCACACAAAAGTCGGAGAGGTTGATACCCCCCTCACTTGGACGATGCTTTGCTATGAATTTCTTACACCTTCTTGCATTTTTTTTACGTATAACGCCTTCGTTCGCCCCATTCATTCACGATTTTTTGGAGTCATTTTCTTGCTACACACACGCATTCGTCACACCCAATCGCAATTTAGATTTCTTTACACGCATGAGAGAAATCACACAGGCCGTCACTGATTTATGATTTGCTGCTGACTTGCGAACGGGATCAGATCGATTCTCTTAAAGATAACCACATTTGTTTTAGAGTCTCGAACGTTCAAAGCAAAGGAGTTTCTGGTATGTAATTCCATACGGTCCCGAGACAGCCGATAACGTCTTGAGCCCTCGCGTCGCGTTCGTCGTCTTTCCAGCCTATTCTTCCATTCGCGGCCACGGTACCCGTGACCTCGATTGTTCGCCCACGAGAGCTAGATGCGCGACTGGCAACAGAATCTGGAAGGCCGATTGCAATATCGCAGCATGTTTTCCGGTCTGGGCTTTGGGTAACTTGAACTAAAACGTCCCGGCACGTTGCTCGCGGGATCGACCAGGCTTTCTCTGGGCTTATTGTTTGCTGTCTCTTCGAGTTGGTACTTATCGCGTCCCTCCTCTGCTTCCAACTTTCTGTCCGACTCGTGCGAACCGTTCCTATGTCAGGACGTCTTCTCTCGACTTTCCTTTCAATCCACAGCGTGGCTCATGGATTCAGAAAACTCGCAGTCTGTTACCCTTGGTCAGTGGCCACTACTATCGCCCACGCAAATCTCCGCATCCAATCATTTATCAAGTTTCAATCCGGTACTACCGTATCCTGATTCCTCGACGACATCGGCGTTTACGCGTTTTACGTTCAAACGTTTAACGTCCGTACCCGATTAATACTAATACTAATGTTGGCGACAGAAGGGACGGTCTCGATTAACTCGCTATCGGTCGAGAACGTCTCTCCATTCTCTCAGCGAGAACCTGGATATCGAGATAATAAGGTACGTTTGCGGCTGGTCCCAGGAGATATGGTACGGTATGGATTATGTTCAATGGCATGGTCTGGCGTCTTCCTGACACTCATTACAATACGAATCTCACGGCGGCGAGGCGAGGCGAGTGAACTGTGAAGGAGCCGTGTGGTTTGTTACCATAAATGTCGATTGAAGCTGACGTTCAAAACATGAATACCTAACAGCTCAACTCTCCGTAGAAACAGTACAGTATCTCTCCCACCGTCTCAGGCTCTCTAGCTAGCAATCGCATAGTGGTCTCAGTTGATATTATTATGTCCTGGGCCATCGACTGTTAAGCTTAGGGCCGCCTGCCCTCTTCCGATTCCACCTTGCCAGATCTCACAGCCGAATTAATGAGTAGACAGGACAGAAGTTCACGAGTTTTGGTTCCGAAAGTAAACCATCGTTATGGCCGTAAGTATTCTTGTTTCGTTATAGCCTGAGCGATCTCTCGTCTTCTTTCGTCGTCCTCGTGAAGTTCGAATATACCATATGCTTGCCAGTTGCCACTTCGCCTCCGAAAACTGATTCCTGACTCGGACGTTGAACTACAAACTTCAGCGAGTGCGAGTTCAACCATACCTGGGTGGCGTCAGTGCCCATGTGCCCATGGATACTCAAGGTACATATTGAAACAAGGGCATGTGGTGTAGTTGGTTATCACGCTCGCTTAGCATCCTAAACACTTGCTTGCGAGAGGGGTCCGGTTCAATCCCGGACATGTCCATAGCATTCTACTCTTTTTTCAACCGCATTTTTTGCTACTACGTAGTAGCCAGTTTTCGATTGAGGTGCGAGACGTGGGGCGGGTACTACTTTTCGTTGGCAATCTATTGAATGCGTGACTGCATCTATAGGTGTTCACTACCAGTCAGATCACTGGTAGACTGCAACCATCGATGTCGTCGTCGAGTGTATACTCAACCCTACCTTAGCCCCGGCCCGTCCGAACTTTGAGTTCGGTCAAATAGCTTCGATAGCCGGTATTGATCGATCGTACCAAACACCTGCGTTCATACACCAGACGCTACGAAATCAGCCACACATCGTCGTCATGACCGCCTTGATCGATTCATCGCATACGTTCACTCTCCTCGCATCTACGTCAGATAATCTTCCAAGCAGACTGCTTTATTTTTGTTGAATCCGGTGCAAGTCCGGATACACATCAAGAGATCCGGCATAGCCCCGGAGCTC